AACGACTGAGCCACCCAGGCGCCCCATTTTCAGTTTAATTTTAATCACCTCAGAATTTTCAACATATGTACTTTTTCAGCATTATGTATTTTCAACATTATATATTTTTCTGGTCAGGAAAAGGCTCCAAATAGCTCCTCTAGCTGTCCTTCATCTACACCAACTCCTGATGCTTCTAAGCCTCGGAGAACAAAGCTTGCCTTTGACGACAGGTGAGAGAAATGGTTTTTTATGCATTGGAGAAATCATTCCAGTCAGCATATAAGAAACTCATTTAAATTCCCATCAGTGATCAGAAGAATTCCTACTTGTGTTGTGCTCCATAGAACATTCAGATTTTAATTTGAAAGGCACCCTACTAGTCCAAGTATTGTTCCTTTTAACTGGACCTCCATGACTCCTGGGGCATGTGAGTAATGGACCTTCAAGTAGAACCTGACTGCTGCTGTACCACTGTTTAACATGGGGGCTTTCTTAAATAAGTGAGAGCAAGTGTTGGGGTTTTTCCTGCATTTTGTTAAAAGGCTATTTCTCTTACCCACATTCCATTTATTCCAAATCCTTCAAACAACTTGGGAAAATAAGCATTTAATATTAGGGAGCTTGATTTCTATTTTCCTAAGTAGAAAATTTGTCATGAGTTGGCCAACACAGTTTATGCTCTTAACCCAATAAAAACATTTGTCAGAAAAACTGGAACTAGATGTTTAGTAATGGGTCATTTTCTGAGGGATGCTAGAGACTAAAATGAACAAGTAATATCTTATGAAAATATTTACTCTTTTATTTACTATAAAAATTTACATTGCAGAAATTATTCAGCAGACCATTATTTACAAGAAGCAAAAAAACTAAAGCACAATGCCGATGCATTGGTATGTAAACATTCTCACATTTGTTTATGTAATCAAATGAACTTAAATTTTCATTTATTGTTTGTTCCCATAGTACCTCAGTGTATCTCTCATTACCTTTATTCTCCTTTCTTCAGTCTGATAGGTTTGAGAAAGCTGTATACTATCTTGATGCTGTGGTATCTTTCATTGAATGTGGGAATGCATTAGAGAAAAATGCTCAGGAATCCAAATCCCCATTCCCTATGTATTCAGAGACAGTGGAGCTCATCAAGTAAGTGGGAAAACTTGGCTGCCGTGTCTTTGGCACTACTACTTCCTTGGTTCATCTAGGAAGGGGCTGATACAGCTGTGTACAGTAAAACCGTGAAGGATCCTAATCCTTTGTTGTCCTGGGTTAAGGAGAACTAGATACTTCCGTGGGTATTTTTGCCTTTGTTTAGGTTGGGTTCTAATGTTCTGAGGACTAAAGTCCTAAGATCAAGATGAAGTACTGTGTTTTGTGTCATTTGTTGCTTTAACTCACAGATACACTATGAAGCTAAAGAATTACTTGGCCCCTGACGCTACAGCTGCAGATAAAAGGCTCACGGTACTTTGGTAAGTTTTGTGTGACAGCCTCTGCTAAATGACAGGCTGTTCCCTAAGAAATTATGCTGTTTAGGGGCGCCTGGGTGGCTCAGTCGTTAAGCGTCTGCCTTCGGCTCAGGTCATGATCCCGAGGTCTTGGGATCGAGCCCCGCATCGGGCTCCTTGCTCAGC